CCCTCCCCCAACAATTTATAAAATTCAGTTACGTTTTTAAAAGTCAAGACTTTTAATATCAGTGAAAACATTGATCAAATAATCCAGATGATGAAAACATTATTCACATTTTTAAATCTATTGACGTAGAATTTAATGCATTTGTTGTTTTACAGGGTTAATCAATGTCAATGGTCTACAATAACTGTTGAACAATATGCAAAATGAAATGAAATGAAATGGGGTTTAACGTCCTACTGTTTTGCTCCTAAACTTGGCTAATGAAAACGGGCATACGCCATACAGTGTGCTATGAGGGACATTTTGCCCGGGCAGCGGCGCTACGGCCAACTCTTATATCGAATTCCAACTGTCAAGGGATCTTTTACGTGCACGCCAATATTCTAGAAATTTAGAAATTTAGTTTAAGAAGATAAAACTAACCATGAAGAATAATTTTAAGATGTCCATGTACTGATCAAGCTTCATTTACTAGGATGAGTAGTTTAAGACTATATTTTATATTCTTTCTTGGTTTCCTTTTCAAATTCAAATCCTTGGTTAGCCACTTCCATCTTGGTTAAATGAAATAAATAGTTGAACGAAAATATATTGTTGTCTATAATTTGTTTAATGAAATTACGGGTTGTAAGAATTGATTTAATCACTGCTACCCTCGCCGAGAAGGGGAAATCTTATGATCGAAAGGACGTTTACATCTAACATGCTTATTAGAATGTGTAATATATGCGATATATGCAAACGATCTCGCTAGCTGTGCCTTTGACACCTCGAGGTCGCACGGGCTGGTACTCGTCCAAATCAAAGCCTCAAATTTCTTAAGGAAAATCTTTTGTAAGTGAACATAGTTTTCATGTAATTTGACTTTTTGTTTAGTTGGTCTACATGTACGTCTTGATAAATTAAATCAGTTCAAAACTAAACGCCTCTTTTCAATAACTCTTTCTTTAGAAGCTAAAATATTATTTGATGCGTTTGGCCGCAAAGCATTACGATAGATCGGTTCGGACTGACAAACTTTCAAAATAAATCGCCAAAATTGAATTACTCTGTTTATGTTGCTAGAAATGTATCATGCAAAATACAAATTTCATGTCCTATAATTTCCTATATATAGTTGTTAAACAGCATGGCCCTCTCATTGCCCTCAAAATGTGAAACCCGAATGCAGACACCTGATTAAGTATCTTTGTGCAGTGATCCAAGATAAAGTTGACCCCGTTCTCGACACTATAACGCAGGCCACGAATAATTCATAACATCTGCACATGAACAAGTCTGGGTGCGCAGAATGTTGACTGGAGAACAAAAACGTCAAGAGAGTCATGGTTAGTCAATAGCTTCTCGGTGATCATCGGGGAATTCCGCGTGCTTTCTTGGGTCATACCTGGGTTGATTCCTTTTGACCCTTAGACAAATAGTCAAAGTATGCAGTGGAAGCACATGACGTCACCATTAACCAACACCCAAAAATTTCAAGAGGGAAATAGAGAGATAAATGGGGTTTAACGCCCACTCGACACAAAGTAGGTCATTTCGGGACTAACATATAGTTCAATTTTATTTCAATAATTCGTAGGGGTCTTTAGCAGTGGGAGGAAACCGGAGGACCCGGAGAAAACCCACGAGGTATTTCAAAAGAACGTCTTACAGTTGCAAAATGAAAAGACGGGTTATCCTTCTATATAACTGACTGAAGTGGCGAGTGGGAATTTGCCCGTGTATATGTTATCAGTCGTCACTTCAGTCAGCTATATAGAAGGATAACTCGTGTTTTCTTATTGCTTTCGTCACTTCCGCTTTACAATAATATCTGGAACGTGTTTAACCAGTTCTGTCACATATGTGATAATGACTGACACCAATATTGTCCTTTAACAGGATCTATTAAATCGACTAGATCATTACTGTGTATTTTCTCTACAGAGTAAAGACATGAATATTTAACGTCTGACATTATGTAGAACAAGATGTAATTGTAATGTTGGAGAGTTTTGGTTCACGCGGGTATGCATTTGAACTTGTGATATTGCAACATTTAAACGAACTTGATAACAAATAAGCTGAAGCTTTTTGCTTTGTTTTTCAATAAAAAAAAGAGATGGCACTTGGAATAGTTGTTGCCATATTGTTGCTAATATTACTAGTCAAGGGAAAGTCGAGTAGACCATCTCAAAGGGGGAATATCCTAAAGATGAGTTGACACATTTATTCATAGAGAAAGCGATCGGCTGTCCTATTTAGTACGATTATTGGATACAGTCTTTCAGCTAGAATTCTGCGTACGTTCGCATGCACTCAGACAATGATGTGCAAAATTAGGTGTGAATTTTAGCGGGGTAACTAAACATATCAACGACTGTAAACACATATTATGAAGATCCTTGTGGCAAAGGACCAAATAAATCGACATGTCAGGCTTCAAATGGCTATGCTGGAGTATTGTACGATTTGGTTAATTTACGCTTTTGACAATCTTGCAATATTTGAGGTAGTCAGAAACGATTGCAGGCATACGCGAAAAATAATAAGAATCATTGAGACGATCTATACCCCCATATCTTGCCAAAGGAGAATCTTGATTAAGCTATAGAAAAGTCTTTATAAGAATTATCGGTACAACTATTCAAAATAGTTTAACCAAAGAACGTAGTGTTGTGCTAATAGACCGATCACACACAAATGTTGGCATATAATTAAGAAATACAGAAAGGTAAAATACTGATATTGCACCATGGTCGCCAGACGAGCCATTAGGAACGTACCGACGCACCCCCACCCCTCCCACTTGTAAACTTTGTATTTTCTCTTATGCGGGGGGCATAAAATGATTACATATCTGGCTCTTTAAAAAGCTTTCCCAGGGGCTCAATGTAAGGGGAAAAGCGGAGTAGGGGCGAGCTTGCAACACTCGTCAGAACCCCAGCTAGTTTACTTGCGGCCTTCCAACCTATGTTTGTTTGGTTGAGCGTTACAAGATATTGCACCCTTTTTGAGAACGTCCAACCACGCCTCGGATCGTGACCAACAACTTCTACAGACAGTTCAAGAGTCATTGACCACAAGTTCTTACACAGTACAATTAAAAGGCGTTCAGTACGTAGTCAGATAAGGAAGAGTACACCATGATTTTGGAAAATAACCTACTGCGTCTAAAGACATACACTTCAACCCTTCCCAAAATTTAACTAATAATATTGTAGATACTAGTAGTACTACATGACGTATAGATCTTTTTATTTTTGGAAAACGGAACGTTACATATACACAAAGGTCATGTTTCAACAATATTAATATTATCATTTAATAAAAAGCGTTAATACGTCATGGCGACGTTGGTTATATTTACTTAATATTTACAGATCAATGTTTTGAGCTGGGATTTGAAATAACCCACTCTTGTTAGTTGTTTCATTGGCTTTGGTAATGTCTGGTTTATAAACGAGCATTTCTTAGATGTTTTACTGTCTCAGAGATTTCTGCTGGTAGTATAGGGTCTAACACGACCGGGGCTAGTAAATTCAGAACTAAATTACCTTGCACTATCAAACAAGTAAAACGGACTACCACTAGAAAGACGAAAGAGTTCATAATTCACTGTAAACACAAGACCAAAACAAGGATTACTCAACAAAGAAATATACTATAAGAAACAAAAGACACACGAGTTCAAAATGGACTATAAGACAGAAGACACACACGATGGCTTAAGATGGACTGTAAGACACAATGCCCAAGGTTTTAAAATGGAATGTAAGACACAAGAAAGACAAAAGTGGACTGTAGAAAGAAGACGTAAGGACCCAGCATAAACTGTAGACATAAGACATAAAAAAAGGTATTAAGATGTCGAAAGCAACATAATTGAAACAATTAACATAGAATCCAAATTTACTCCCCGGATTCAAAATCTACTTAAGCTTCAAATATTCGTCTTTAATATATACCGAAAGTCAAAAGAGAATCCCGGTGAAAATATTGTGGAAAGGATTCCCAACAAAGCTAGAAAGGTTACCAAGGTACAGTTCTTCGAATGTACTGACATCATTTCAACATATTTGACTTTGGTGATCCTTATCATCACCGATGTAATCGTGCAGTTGAAAAACATTACGAAAGTACCTTAATACAACAGATCTAAATGAGTCATCAAATTCAGTCCACAAGAGATGGAATATCTCGCACATTCCCCGAAGTGAATACAATCTCGACTTTGAAAGCACTACACACTTTAGAAATAACACCATTCATTTATTACCAGTGTATTTTAGAAATATTAATTCTGCACCAACCCGTCAAGAGAATTTTTTCCCAGAAAGTGGAGTTTCCACCTACTGTTCGTCTAATTCCATTTGTCAAGGGTCTTTTATGTGCTCGCCCACGAGTACATGGTTCTGCTATTTTCCACTAACAAGGGGAATACGTAGACTTTGTGGGTGTGGCTGGACCTACACAGGTATTAAGTGCAGAGCTATTTCTTATAATGACAGTCTAATGTAATTATACCTTACATATTACGAAGGACATCTACAGCTACAAGTGGTTTTTTGGTCGTTCAAAGGAACTTTCAAATTATCGCCCATCCGTCCCGCCCCGCCCCACCGTCTTTGCACGAATACTTTAGGAATGGTTAGAGCTGACGGGGATGTTTATCTATTTAGACCACTTTACTAGACAATATTAATAAAAAAGACAAAAATACATCAAAAATGCAACTTATGTTCAGCAAAATAAGATGTTGCTCAATTAAATGAAGAAAAAAAACAATACTAAAGGTACAAAATACAATATTTTCTGATAAATGCGCACAGGTGTGGTACCCTGCCTATGTCACGAATTCCATCACAAGCACGTACATGACACAGCATGAAAAATGTTGTAGTGTTTTTGATTATAAATTTCCAGACTGAAAGACCTTCAATGGGACCAGTGACAGGTGTCCATTATCTTTGAATTTAGTTTTATCCGTTTTCTTATCTTTAAAGAAAAAAATATAAAAGAAGGATTGTGGGCTAATCTAGTTACTGAAGTTTCTGACAGTCAGGTATGTACATGTAAGCTCTATAAAAAAATCTGGAAATTTAAACATCTGTCTTGTTTACCTATCTGTAATATACATTTTTTTTAAGTAAATTGTCACGAGCTGATATACCGACTAAATATTAATTGTCTTGTCTTAACACAATAGTTGGAATCAATGTGATGTAAATAATTTTATTGTACGATATTTAAAATAGTAAAATCTATTTGAAATGCAAATGTTTGGAAAATAAGTTATCAGGCAGCCATTGAGATGGATGGAACCTGTGGGGAAATTAAAATGTATCAAAAACTGTCCGTCGGTATTCCCCTTGATAGAGAAAGAGCAAGACACGATAATTAATTATTTGTGAAACCAGAAGACACAGGCTAAATTTCATAATCTGCCAACCTCTAAAATTACCTAAACAAGAGTTAGAGTGTAGGGTATAAAACATGGTGGTTAGATTCACAAACCACTTTATTTACAATATATTTATACCCTTTATTATTTTAGATATCAAAATGAAAGTAGCTATCGTCCTCCTTGTTCTCTTGCCATTGGCTTTCTGCAACCCAATATCTGATCTACTCCACACATTACAAAAGGGTAAGGTTATTCATCTGAACTGTCCATTTTCATTTTATTTACCAAATTAAATGAGATTTAGGCCAGCAAAAGGCTAATTATAGTTCTGCAAACAAAAGTATCCGTCAACAGATAATCAGCGATAAAAGGTCACTGAATGCTATACCTGGCTTTATCGCAGTACCAAATCGTAGTTTATCCACCATTTTTGCGGGAAGTTGCGGTACACGTTAAGTTAATTTACAATACGTTAGTGCTCCAATTTGTGTTCATTTTAAATTATTTTGATCATTCATGTTTTCAGATATTCATCTTGATGTAATCAAGGAAAATGTTAACAAAATTGCTGCTCAAATCGGAAGTGACGGTACTGAAGCTCAATGTGAAACCGAATGTCATAAAATCGCCACCCAAGCCATCCTTGATTCTGGCTGTGCTTTCTTCTGTAAAGGGTAAGTTGAATATTATGGTCTAAATGTTAAGATGGTGCTACTTGATTCTGTCTGTGCATTCTTCTGTAAAGGCTAAGTTTAATGCTACGGTTTAAACGTTAAGATCACGATTCTACTTTCGAATCTCCTAGTTGCTGTCTGATAAGTGATTTAACAATAGCATTTTTTCAGGTGGCAAATATGACCTATAATGTGATTCCGGTTCTAATTTCATAAATGATTTGAAAGAAACATTAACTGTTCCCCCCCCCCCCACCCAAGAAAAAATAAATATTACGTAATAAAGTCAGTCAAGACTTTTTAATACCAGCTGAAACATTGATCAAAGAATCCAGATGATGAAAACATTCATATTTTTAAATCTATTTTGACGTAATTGATGCGTTTGTTGTTTTACGAGTTAATCAGTTTTCTACCATAAATGTTGAATATCCATACTTTGTTCTTTGTTCATTAGAAATTTAGTTATAAATCTAACCATGAAGAATAATTTTAAGATGTCCATGTACTGATCAAGCTTCATTTACTAGGATGAGTAGTTTGTTTTAAAAAACTATATTTTATATTCTTTCTTGGTTTCCTTTTCAGATTTCAATCCTTGGTTGGCCACTTCCATCTTGGTTAAATGAAATAAATAGTTGAACGAAAATATATTGTGGTTGTGTATAATTTGTTTAATGAAATAAATAGTTGAAAGAAAATACATTGTTGTGTACATTTGTTTTAAAAAAAGGTGGCTAAGTGGGTATTCGCCGACTCGCTAGCCTAGAGTCGCGTGTTTGATCCCTGCATTGGCCAAGAAAGTTCATCGGGATTTTCCGGCGTGGATTTCCGTTGTCAGTGGTGCAGAACGGAAGGCCTGACTGATGTCTCGTGTATACATTGACGTGCACGTCGGTCCCAAAATAAGTACAGTCACTGCAGTCGGTCTCAAAATTATGCATACGTCACACAAAACTATATAGTATAAAATAACCATGTCTGCTTGTCATGTTTGTAAAAATGTTTTGCACTCTTATTCTGTTGTATGTTGTTCTAAGAAATGTTTATCCCATGATAAAAAAAATAGTCGGTCTCAAAAAAAGTGCTCACCGCAGTCGGTCTCAGACTAAATGAATTAATGAGGTAAACAAACAATGCCATAATAGAAGGGAATAATTTTGTGTGAATCCGTGCACCTAAATTGCTATGATAACCTAGTCAGCTTGTCACAAAACAGGCGAAATTGACAGATATGCCTCAAGATTCTGTCCCATTTCTTATCCTCTCAAGGAGAATTTGCCGTGACATTGACAAAACTTTTCAGTCCCAGTCCCAAAAAATTAATAGATCGATTACATATCTGAAATTTTTTCGCGCTGGCGTCGCTCGATTCCATTATAACATCATTCTTCCACTCCACTGTTGTCTTATACTGTCTCAGCACTATCATATTCGCAGTTATAGTGAACTGTCCAGTTATTGGTAGTACCACTGGTGCGTGGGTCGTCAGACTGTACAAATGTTATGTCAATTCTTGCAAAACAGGCGGAATTGACAGGGGCAGATCTCGAGATTCTGTCCCATTGACTCATATTTTTAGTCCTCTCGTCCACAAGAATTTCTCCCAGCAATGACCTCAAATGCCAGGACATTGACTCAATTTTTCAAAATTTTCTCAGATTGCTCAGTGTTATTGGCACAATCATCATATAAAGTAAAGTAAAGGAAAGTAAATCAGGAGTTTACTGACGGACAGACGAGCGGAGAGGAGGAAAGACGCAGACGAGAGAAAAGCAGAGACCATCGGATGGGCTCGCCCGAGTTCAGCCACTGCCTTGAATGCTGGATTTAAGATAGTTATGTACTGTCCTGATATGATCCTGTCGTAGTCTAGTTCCCGATGTAGTTTAGTTCATGTTGTATCTATGTTAACTGTTTGATATTCTGTTCCGATGTAAATAAATGATATATTTAATAAACTGATCTCTGTTATCACTAAGATAGTGTTACAGTTGGTTATATTTACTTAATATTTACAGATCAATTTTTTGAGCTGAGATATGCAATAACCCACCATGATTAGTTGTTTCATTGGCTGTGGTAATGTCCGGCTTATAAACGAGCATTTCTTAGAAGATGTTTTACAGTCTCAGAGATAGAACTAAATTACCTTGCACTATCAAGCAAATAAAACAGACTACTAGAAAGACGGAAACACAAGACCGAAACAAGGTTTACTTAACAAAGAAATATACTGTAAGAAACAAGAGACACACGAGTTCAAAATGGACTATAAGACAGAAGACATACGCAATGTAAGACACAATGCACAAGGTTTTAAAATGGAATGTAAGACACAAGAAAGACAAAAGTGGACTGTAGAAAGAAGACGTAAGGACCCAGCATGAACTGTAGACATAAGACGTAAATAAAAGGTATTAAGATGTCGAAAGCAACATAATTGAAACAATTAACATAGAATCCAAATTAACTAACCCGATTCAAAATCTACTTAAGCTTCAAATATTCGTCTTTAATAAATACCGAAAGTCAAAAGAGATTCCCTGTGAAAATATTCTTGAAAGGATTCCCAACAAAGCTAGAAAGTTACCAAGGTACAGTTCTTCGAATGTACTGACATCATTTCAACATATTTGATTTTGGTGATTCTTATCATCACCGATGTAATCATGCAGTTGAAAAACATTACGAAAGTATCCCAATACAACAGATCTAAATGAGTCATCAAATTCAGTCCACAAGAGATGGAATAGCTCGCACATATGTATGATTTTCCCCGATATGAATAAAATCTCGACTTTGAAAGCACTACACACTTTAGAAATAACACCATTCATTTATTACCAGTGTATTTTAGAAATAACACCATTTATTTATTACCAGTGTATTTTATAAATAACATCATTCATTTATTACCAGTGCTTATTACCAATGTATTTTAGAAATAACATCATTCATTTATTACCAGTGTATTTTAGAAATATATTGAAGACGGATACACGTCATGCAGTGTGCGATGAGAAACTTTTCCCAGAAAGTGGAGTTTCCACCTACTGTTCGTCGAATTCCATTTGTCAAGGTTCTGCTATTTTCCAAGTGGGTATATACCAAGTGGGTATTTGATCGTTCAAAGGAACTTTCAAATTATCGCTCATCCGTCCCGCCCCGCCGTCTTTGATCGAATGCTTTAGGAATGGTTAGAGCTGACGGGGATGTTTATCTATTTAGACCACTTTACTAGACAATACTAATAAAAAAGACAAAAATACATCAAAAGTGCAACCTATGCTCAGCAAAATAAGATGATGCTTAATTAAATGAAAGCAACACTAAAGGTACAAAATATAATATTTTCTGATAAATGCGCACAGGTGTGGTACCCTGTCTATGTCACGAATTCCATCACAAACACGTCCATGACACAGCATTAAAAATGTAGTTTTTTTTATTATAAATTTCCAGACTGAAAGACCTTCAATGGGATCAGTGACAGGTGTCCATTATCTTTGAATTTAGTTTGATCCGTTTTCTTATCTTTAAAGAAAAAAAATATAAAAGAAGGATTGTGGGCTAATCTAGTTACTGAAGTTTCTAACAGTCAGGTACGTACATGTAAGCTCTATAAAAGAATCTGAAAATTTAAACATCTGCCTTGTTTACCTATCTGTAATATACATTTTTTTCAGTAAATTGTCACGAGCTGATATACCGACTAAATATTAATTGTCTTGTCTTAACACAATAGTTGGAATCAATGTGATGTAAAAAAAATTATTGTACGATATTTAAAATAGTAAAATCTATTAGGCGGGCCTTTGAAAATGTAAATGTTTGGAAAATAAGTTATTCGAACATCAATCAGACAGCCATTGAGATGGATGGAACCTGTGGGGAAATTAAAATGTATCAAAAACTGTCCGTCGGTATTCCCCTTGATAGAGAAAGAGCAAGACACGATAATTAATTATTTGTGAAACCAAAAGACACAGGCTAAATTTCATAATCTGCCAACCTCTAATATTACCTAAACAAGAGTTAGAGTGTAGGGTATAAAACATGGTCAGATTCAGAAACCATTTTATTTACAATATACATATATTTATACCCTTTATTATTTTAGATATCAAAATGAAAGTAGCTATCGTCCTCCTTGTTCTCTTGCCATTGGCTTACTGCAACCCAATATCTGATCTACTCCACACATTACAAAAGGGTAAGGTTATTCATCTGAACTGTCCATTTTCATTTTATTTACCGAATTAAATGAGATTTAAGGCCAGCAAAAGGCTAATCATAGTTCTCCAAACAAAAGTATCTGTCAACAGATAATCGGCGATAAAAGGTCACTGAATTCTATACCTGGTATTATCGCAGTACCGAATCGTAGTTTATCCACCATAAGTTACTTAGCAATAAGTTAGTGTTCTAATTTGTGTTCATTTTAAATTATTTTGATCATTCATATTTTCAGATATTCATCTTGATGTAATCAAGGAAAATGTTAACAAAATTGCTGCTCAAATCGGAAGTGACGGTACTGAAGCTCAATGTGAAACCGAATGTCATAAAATCGCCACCCAAGCCATCCTTGATTCTGGCTGCGCTTTCTTCTGTAAAGGGTAAGTTAAATATTAAGGACTAAATGTTAAGATGGTGCTACTTGATTCTGTCTGTGCATTCTTCTGTAAAGGCTAAGTTTGATGCTTGCTACGGTCTAAACGTTAAGATCACGATTCGAATCTTCTAGTTACTGTCTGATAAGTGATTTAACAATAACATTTTCAGGGGGCAAATATGACCTATAATGTGATTCCGGTTCTAATTTCATAAATGATTTGAAAGAAGCATTAACTGTCCCCCCCCCCACCCCACAATGAAAAAATAAATATTACGTAATAAAGTCAGTCAAGACTTTTTAATACCAGCGGAAACATTGATCAAAGAATCCAGATGATGAAAACATTCATATTTTTAAATCTATTTTGACGTAATTGATGCGTTTGTTGTTTTACGAGTTAATCAGTTTTCTACCGTAAATGTTGAATATCCATACTTCGTTCTTTGTTCATTAGAAATTTAGTTATAAATCTAACCATGAAGAATACTTTTAAGATGTCCATGTACCGATCAAGCTCCATTTACTAGGATGAGTAGTTTGTTAAGACTATATTTTATATTCTTTCTTGGTTTCCTTTTCAGATTTCAATCCTTGGTTGGCCACTTCCATCTTGGTTAAATGAAATAAATAGTTGAACGAAAATATATTGTTGTGTATAATTTGTTTAATGAAATAAATAGTTGAAAGAAAATATATTGTTGTGTACAATTGTTTTAAAATAAAGTGGGTAAGACGCCGACTCGCTTGTCTAGAGGTCGCGTGTTTAATCCCTGCATTGGCCAAGAAAGTTCATCGGGATTTTCCGGCGTGGCTTTCCCTTGTTAGTGGCGCCGAACGGATGGTCTGACAAGGACAGCTGTCTAGTTGTTCAGATGGAACTAAAGACTGAGGTTCCGTGTATACATTGACGTGCGCGTTAGGGAGAGAGGGAGAGATGGGGTTAACGTTCACTCGACATAAACTAGGTCATTTCGGGACTAACATGTGGTTCAGTTTTATTTCAATAATTCGCTTGCTTTTAGGGGTCTTTAGCAGCGGGAGGAAACCGGGGGACCCTGAGAAAACCAACGGAGTTGGACAGGTGACCTTACTCCTTATCACGTACAACCGGGGAATCGAAACTACGTGAGTTCACTCAATGACGGACCTTATGACGCAACGCGCACGCACTAACCATTCGGTCATCCACCACCCCGACGAGTTACAGATAAATAATATATTGTGCAGTATTATCTTTGTTACGGAAAAAAATACATTGCCCCTATAAATCTAATAATTTAACACTTTATTTATAGTCTCACAGATGCATAAATTATTTAATATATTGTACAGTATATAAAGACTACAAGTAAACTTTTTGTTTCGGTTATTTTTCCAGTCTCAAATAGTTCTACGTATTTAGAGCTTGCAACAACGTAACTTCTCAACTCACCAATGCGGCAACTAACTACAGTGTTTTACATTTCACACTCTTTCGGTGTCGGTTAGTTGCGGCTGGAGTGAGTTTAATAGATAGAACCAGCGGCTGCCAGGCAGGATACGCCCACATTTTCGAGTGATGGATAGAGAACAAGCTAAAAAGAAAGTGATTTTTTCTACAATCAAGGGCCATAATTCATGAAATTACAATTCAATATGCGCAAATATCGAAAGGAACCGAGATCTTTGGGTTATAAACTTACATTTCAAGTTTCAACAAAATCGGATAAAAATTGTGACCTCTATAGTGTCCACAACTTTGATATACCATATTTTTACGCTACTTCAGTTTTGGGCCGATTTTCACGAAATTCGAACTCAGTCGTCCTTAGGGTGTAACGGCGATATAATAATACGTTTTTTTAAATCGGATAAAAATTATGACCTCTATAGGGTTCACAAGCTAAAAACGCGATTTTTCGTACAATCAGGGGCCATAATTCAGAAAGTTACGTTTCGATATGCGCGAATATCGAAAGGAACCGAGATCTTTGGGTTATAAACTTATATTTCAAGTTTCGTCAAAATAGGATTAAAATTGTGACCCATATAGGGTCCACAACCTTGATATACCATATTTTTACGCTATTTGAGAACGAAGGGCGGCCATTTTGTCTGTCAGTTTTGGATCGATTTTCACGAAATTCGAAATTAGCCGTCCTTAGGGTGTAACGGTGATATAATAATACGTTTTTTTTTAAATCGGATAAAAATTATGACCTCTATAGGGCCCACAAGCTAAAAACGCGATTTTTCGTACAATCAGGGGCCATAATTCAGGAAGTTACGGTCCGATATGCGGGAATATCGAAATGAACCAAGATCTTTGGGTTATAAACTTACATTTCAAGTTTGAACAAAATCGAATAAAAATTGTGACCTCTATAGGGTCTACAACCTTGATATAAAATATTTTTACGCTATTTGAGAACGAAGGGCGGCCATTTTGTCTGTCAATTTTGGGCTGAATTTCACGAAATTCGAACTCAGCCGTCCTTAGGGTTTAACGGTGATATAATAATACGGGTTTTTAAATCGGATGAAAATTATGACCTCTATAGGGTCCACAAGCTAAAAACGCGATTTTTCGTACAATCAGGGGCCATAATTCAGGAAGTTACGTTCCGATATGCTCGAATATCGAAATGAACCGAGATCTTTGGGTTATAAGCATACATTTCAAGTTTAAACCAAATCGGATAAAAATTTCGTATAATCAGGGGCCATAATTCAGGAAGTTACGTTCCGATATGCTCGAATATCGAAATAAACCGAGATCTTTGGGTTATAAGCATACATTTCAAGTTTAAACCAAATCGGATAAAAATTGTGACCTCTACAGTGTTCACAAGCTAAAAACGTGATTTTTCGTACAATCAGGGGCCATAATCCATGATGTTACAGTCCGATACATGCCAATATCGAAAGGAACCGAGATCTTAGGGTGATAAACCTATATTTCAAGTTTCGTTGAAATCGGATAAAAATTGTGACCTGTAGACTGTTCACAAACAATTGTGGACGGACGGATAGGGGCGACGACAATATACGTCCACATGAAAATGTGGGCGTATAAAAAGGGCGAGAGAGAGAGAAATGGGGTTTAAAGTCCACTCGACACAAACTAGGTCATTTCGGGACTAACATATGGTTTAATTTTATTTACATAATTCGCTTGCGCGTAGGGGTCTTTAGCAGTGGGAGGAAACCGGAGGACCCGGAGAAAACCCACGAGGTTGGACAGGCGACCCTACTCCTTGCCACGTACAACCGGGGATTCGAAACCACGCTAGTCGACTCAATGACAGACTTTAATGAAGTTCGTAACTACGTATTTTTAAAAGAGTAACGTATAAAGAAGAATATTTTTTCATGGCTTCATTGACAAATAAGGGAATGAATATTGTCATGTGAATGTTTGTTGCCTGTACTGCACTAACTTTTCCCATGTGATTAGAACCGAAAAAGGCTAAACAAGAGAAATTAGATTAGTAATTAGCAAAACGGTGTCAATGTTATACACTGGTCAGCCCTTAGTCCGGACTTAAACCCGATTGAACATCTTTGGAATGAAATTCAGAGGAGATTTAATAACTTCGTACCGAGACCAAACACGGCCGATTGTTTGCGTCAGGTTTTTCTGAGAGTGTGGTTCCAGGTGCCAATGGCGTTCATCAATATACCTTTGGTTATATACCTTTTAACTGGGTCTACACACACGAGATCATTACTATATATGGCATTTACAAGTTATCTTAATCGGGGTCAATAGGTTCACTGCATCTAAATAATAGTTCGTATTTTATAAAATAGAAAATTAAGCACTTTGTAACAAGAGCTCATCATGATTTTTGAAAATAATCTACTGCGTCTAAAGATATGCACTTCAATCCATCCCAAAATTCAACTAAAAATATTGTAGATACTAGTAGTACTACATGTATATAACTTTTATTTTTAGAAAACGGAACGTTACATATACACAAAGGTCATGTTTCAGTAATAATAATATTATTATTTAGTAAAACGCATTAATACTGAATTATAGTTGTCATGGCGACGTTGTCGGACAAAGTACTCTATAACTTTCATCAAACTGAACGATCATCTGGGTGCATAGAACTTATTGACCTAAGCTGCTTTTGATAATATATTATATTGACTTTTCAACTCGTATATACTTCTGTTAAGGCACGAGCGGAGAGGGGGGAAGACGCAGACTAGAGAAAAGCAGAGATCGGCGGATGGGCTCGCCCGAGTTCAGCCGTTGTCTTAGCAGAGGGGCGGAATGCTGGATTCAAGATAGTTATGTACCGTCCTGATATGTTCCTGTCGTAGTCTAGTTCCCGATGTAGTTTAGTTCATGTTGTATCTATGTTAACTGTTTGATATTCTGTTCCGATGTAAATAAATCATATATTTAATAAACTGATCTCTGTTATCACTAAGATAGTGTTACAGTTGGTTATATTTACTTAATATTTACAGATCAAGGTTTTGAGCTGAGATATGCAATAACCCACTGTAGTTAATTGTTTCATTGGCTGTGGTAATGTCCAGCGTATAAACGAGCATTTCTTAGAAGATGTTTTACTGTCTTGGAGATTTCTTCTGGTAGTATAGGGTCCAACACGACCGCGGTTAGTAAATTCATAACTAAATTACCTTGCACTATCAAACAAATAAAACGGACTACCACTAGAAAGACGAAAGGGTTTAAAATTCACTGTAAACACAAGACCAAAACAAGGATTACTCAACAAAGAAATATACTGTAAGAAACAAAAGAGACACACGAGTTCAAAATGGACTATAAGACAGTAGACATACGCAATGGCTCAAGATGGACTGTAAGACACAATGCATAAGGTATTATAATCGAATGTAAGACACAAGAAAGACAAAAGTGGACTGTAGAAACAAGACGTAAGGACCCAGCATGAACTGTAGACATAAGAGAGAGAAAGGGAAAATGGGGTTTAACGTCCACTCGACACAAACTAGGTCATTTCGGGACTAACATATGGTTCAATTTTATTTCAATAATTCGCTTGCGCGTAGGGGTCTTTAACAGTGGGAAGAAACCGGAGGAGAAAACCCACGGGGTTGGACAGGCGATCTTACTCCTTGACACGTACAACCGGGGAATCGAAACTACGCCAGTTGACTCAATGACAGACCTTATGATACAACGCGCACGCGCTAATCGTTCGCCCCCCCCCCCTAGCACGTAAAAGATCTCTTGCCATTTGGAATTCGATATAACAGTAGGCTGTAGCGCCACTGCCCGGGCAAAATTTCCTTCATAGCACACCGTATTGCGTATGCCCGTGGGTGGATGAACCAGTCGAATTACAACTGCCAAGGGGTCTTTTGCGTGCAAGCCAATATATACATCCGAGCGACTAGACAGATGTCCTTGTCAGGCTCTCCGTTCTGTACCCCACGTCGGAAAATCCCGATGAACTTTCTCGGCCAATGCAGGAATCGAACATGCGACCTTCAGGCTAGCGAGCCAGTGTCTTACCCACTTAGCCACCGTGCCTCCCTACCTCTAAAGACCATTACATATAAAGAATAACCAAAACACAAGACTAATCTTTCTCTCTTATTAAAGCGGGGCGATATCGGATAATATACCCATAATAATCTCCTACGA